AGGACTTGATTAAAACTGGATATTTTTTTAATTAGTAAATTCACATGATTAAAAAGAACGAGAAAGAATTATAGCATGGTCTTCACTTTGCAGGATAACTTTCTTACGTTTGGAAATATGGAAATGAAACGTTCTCCTAAGATTTTTTTTCTCTTTTTTGGGCTGTCATTTTGATCACCTGTGTGGGGACCTTTGTTTGTCTTAATTTGTCTTGTTGACGATATGAGCATAAATGGGGGTAATAGTAGTTTATTTTACCTGTGCAGTCCCTGCTGACCCGCATAACTGATATTTGTCTTGTTATGTATTTGGATTTTCGTCCCTGGTCCCTGCTACTGCTTATATTTACTTGTATTTGTGCTTTTGTTGTTTTTTACATAATTTTTGTTCAATTTTGCCTTGTTTGTTCTAGTGATGGTCAAATAAATAAGAATAATTGAAGAGATGGCACCCATCACGATTAACAAAGGTACAACTTTCGACTATTTGAAGACTATCGTCACATATACAGGCCAAACTAACTACTGAAACAGATTGACTAACAAGTACAAGAGGGAGAAGATTACTAGCAAACATAATGACTGACCCAAGCTTTCGCCTTCATTTGTGTATAGTTCTCTTAAATGTGGCAATATCAGAATGAAACATTCTTCAGTGGATATGTTCAACAAAATGACAACAAGATCAGTTGATTTTCACCAACCCTACAGTCACAGAAAAATGCTTATTTTGGATTAGGCCTTATAAAGAGCCAAATTTGGTGCAAATATCCAACTACAAGACCAACTTACAAATGGGAAACCAGGAAGCATAACTGCCCTAAGTGTTCACCTTCATTAAATAAGACTTGAAGCTTTACATGGTGGAGACTAAAGACAGGGCTTGTGGTTACATCACGTGGATAGATCTCCCTTGGAAGATGTATGGTTCTGATAAGAACTGTAGAGTGTGTGCTTGACGTTTCATCCAGCATGCTCTCGTCGTCCTCAAGAGTGGTGCCTGATAAGCCATGCTCCAGATTTTACAAAACAATTGTACATGTATACAAAATTATGTACAGATATTGTTCAAAATCTGGAACATGACTTTTGTTAGGCTAAAATCAGAACATGATATAAAGTGCTTACCGAGTGAGTTGTGTTGTCAGTAATGCCAGTTGCCAGTGATGTGTTTAACTCCAGAAAACTGTCTCCAAGGGGCCTGGTCTTGTCTTTTCATCAATGCTACAGCTAATAAAACCATAGAGTCAAGTAAACAAAGATCAGAGCCGAATAAGATACAAGTAGACATCACCGGGATGTCTTTATATAAAACTCTCATTTTCGTGTTGACCTTTGTTTCAACTCTCTTCAATTGTTGGTTGGTCAGCAAACATAACTCCTGAAAAGTTATACTTCTCAAGCCACGAAGCAGCCATTTTACAACTGACACCCCCTCTACTTTCTTGGGCTCTTTTACCAGCCCAAGAAAATAGAAAATTAAGACAGTCCAAAGTCCTCAAATTTCAATACGATTTTGCATACACCAGAGCGGCGGTTGGGCCAAAAACTCTCTGATATTTCACGTTTTATTTGCCATCCCAAGTTTATCAATGGTATTGTATTAACCACTTCCTGAAGGGCAACCCATTTTCAAGTACATACGCTTTATACGCAGAGCCGGGAGTGCAGGAAACCAGGACAAAAGAACTGGGAATGGAACAAAAGACCATGTTCAGCACAAAAGACTGAGCTGCTGGGCATTACCGACATTTTTTCACTCTCAATAGTGAAGATAATCCAACCTTGTTTTGGAACAGTATACCATGGTTTGGGGCATTTAGAGTAAGCGGATTCCCACCAGGGACAAAAACACTCCACCACCACAGCAATGAGCCACACAGCACTGCTACACACTAATCTGGCCTCTACTGAAAAGACTTCAGCAGCACACTGTGCCAGGTTTGTTAACAAAAGAAGGTTACGTAACACTGCACAAGCTGAGCTCTTTTTACAAGGTTGCAGGCCTGGCTGAAATACTCGGACGTCAATGAACGTTACCTGTCACTTAGAGTAGCGCTCAAAGACCCCTTTGTGTGGGTATAAACGTTCGTTAAATGAAATGATGAATTTTTGAAGAATTTTGAAAAATGAAAATCTTGAAAACGACCAGTATGTGTGTACTGCATTTTTTAAAGCACCAGGGAGCAAGTGGTTAAATTATGGCTCCCCATACACATGTATATTACCCACGTTTAGACACGGATTAAATTTATCCACAGAGAAGGACCTCCGTCCCTGTCAACATTTGGAAAAGAGAAGAGAACTGTAACATAATGACGTCATGCTTAGTTTACATGTGCAGCTAGCAGCGTTTCCTAAGGCAGCAAGGTGAAATAATATAGTCCAAGTAGAAAATAATAGCTTGACATTATTATGTTTTAGGGTCAAATATCAGGCATTACAAAAACAAGTATGGAATAAGTTCACAGGAGACTCAATCAGTGAATTATATCTTTGGAATGACCGACAACGATGGACCCACTCACCTTTTACCCAGAAGGCAACAGCAAGAGATCAAAGTATCAATCACCTCAACAACGAGTGCAGGAACTCCATCATCAAGAAACTGGATGTACCATGAGTGGCTTGTGCTCTGACTGAAATGGATACACAAAACAGTCATTAAAACATGTAAAAGGAAGAAATGACAATACAGCATGAGTGTATTAGCCTGAATTCACTGATTATAAGATGGCAGTGGAGGATTGACAAAGGTAGAGAAACAAAGTTTTCCCCAACGACCTTCTTCCAGGCATGTGGTTCCAGGTAGATGTGATTGAAATTGACACCAAAGAATTATGGTCAAGATGGCTTACATCATACTTCCCAGCCAATGTTGAATCCTTGGTGTGTATGATAGAAGCCAGCCTGTGTTTAAGGATATCATGAAAGAAACTCTGGACACACAGTGTTATTCATTCTGCATGCTGCCACCATATGGAGAGCCTCGATCTGGCAGTTTGTACAATTGCATCACAATTGCATCAACGCAGCTTCTGAAACATTGTCCAATCGTATGGTATAAGATCCGACACAGCATGCGCAGAATGACCAAGCAACATACATGGAAATCACTGAACCAATTTTGTAAAGATCAAGCTCGAGATTCTGCATGCCTGGGGCAGCAGTGTGAAAAGAGCATGCCATATTGTAACAACCTGATGCATTGCACCTTTAATGTATTTGACACAGAAAGATGGCTTCAGTGAGTAAAAAGTTGGCTGATAAAACAAAACAAGTCCAGATTTGTTTAAACGACCCCTGTGGAATGTCATCATCCTTGTACGTGATTTGCATCCAGGAATGAGGATATTTCATTTCAGTACACTCCTCATTCACTACAAGCAGCCTGTAGATGCAGCTCCTGTCTTGTTTTTGTTCACTTTGGCACAAATTGTACAACCATACCAAATAATTCCATCCATTTTTTGTAGTTTAATTCAACCCAACCTTAAAGGCTGGAGATTCTCATTTGTTGAAAAACTTAAGACAAAACCAAAGGTCAAGATCTACAGAACCATGGACTAATATCAGAATATGATGTAGACTGTTTCCATACCTGTTGAGTAGTGTCACCAATGATAAGATATCTCTCATTTGTTACACTCCAGAGAACAGCCTCCGGGGACTAGCTTGCTCGTCTCTCTGTCAAACTACTGAAACTTGGGAAACTAAATAAACCATGTATGTTTTAATTCTAATCTGTATAACTGCACACACGTGGAGGCCACAATTTCAAAATGTACGGGATGCACTTTACAACAGTAATTGAAACATCACTGAAACGAGTGTCAAATTGAAAAAAATCAGGGCCAAAAATACACAAGCCCACATCACTGGAGTTTCTTTTATAAAAATCTCATCTTCTTAGTTGTTATTTTTTCATTTCTTTTAAATTGTTGCTTGACTAGCTAAGTACATTTTATTCTTCAAAACACCTTAAATGCACTTCCAAAAAAGTCCTTTTCCTCAAGCTTGTCAGCAGTGATTTAACAAATGACATCCATCTAGTTTTTGCAGTTCTTAAGATTTGTTTTCAACCACCAACAGATGCAAGACCGCAAAACAAAAAGTGTTGATCTCGGGCTATATTTAAACAATCTCACCTATTTTTTCAGCCAAACAATCTCTTCAGTCTGCCTTGAGTAGAAGCACAACTTAATTGGTTGAAAAGAGCCCTGTTGGTTGGGAGTATTCATTTTGTTGGTAGTGATGGGGCTGCACGTCTTGCATGTCCTAGTCGTTCATGAACCAGTGATGCACAGTTTGTACCAAAGGAGCCTCTGATGCCAAGGAAATAGTATTCTCTCTCGGTCCAACTAAAGGCCAATACAGGAGACCACAGTCTGTGCAGAAAACATTCCCAAATTATAAACAGTATTAACCCTAACCTCCAAAGGTGCATGAGAAATCATATTGAAATCAGAGGATTTGGGGGACATTTGAGCTACGTTATGGCTTCCTATATAGATGTCATCCAGTATTTGGGCAAAATAAATTTATCCAGCAAGGATGACCCCTAAATACAATGTAGACATAATGATGTCACACTTGGTTTACACACGATACGAGGTTGGGTAGGTCTTAATGTACTAGGTCTATAGGAGTTCACAGGAGACTCAATCAGTGAATCCTACCTTTGGAATGACCAGTAACAAAGAACCACTCACGTTTTACCAAGAAGGCTACAGTAAGAGATCACAGTACAGTCACCTTAACAACAGTGGCCATCATCAAGAAATGCCAAGAAGCTGGTCGTCCTGTCAGCAACGACTCATAAGCGGCTTGTGCTCTAGCTGAAATGAATGCACATAACAGTCATTAAAACATGCAAAATGAAAAAATGGCAAGAAAATATGAGTGGAGGAGCCTGTTTGCCGATTCTCAGAGGGCTTTGAAGGATCGGAAAGATGGAGAGAGCTGATTGAGATTTTGTAATTCACGTATGTGCACCCAGTACTGCAGGTGTATCAATTTAGTTAATACATGGCATTGTATAGGGTAGCAGGGGTAGCCAGGGGTGGCATGACAGGGGTAGCCACAATCCGGCTTCCCACAATATGGCTTCAAATTTTGATGAAAAGAGGCAGCGGTGGAGAGCTGTAGCCAGTGTTCGATACTTGTGCAAGTCGTAGTCTCACATGGAGACGCCGCACCGTGTGTTGCCAACATAGAGTACAACATAAACTGCCCAAAATATTTCTTGTCAGGGCTTTTCTGAAGATATACCCCACATATATTGCAAGGGATGTTTTCAATGACACACATGATAAAGCCAAAAGTGCAAATGTTCTTCAAAAGATATATTGAGCCATTTCATACTACAGTGTCTTTAGAAGTGAGTATCATTCCTTGACATAAATAAACTAAATTCTACGCTATTCCAACATCAAATGGACTTTCGGTTAAGCAGTGTATTGTGACAGAATAAAATCATGGCAAACCTGATTTTCAAGTTCTTGGATCTGGCTGTAAAAACGTTTGAAAGCTAATGACCATCAGGATGGCCTTAATCAATGCTGGCTTCATATTTATGTGTTTCACATTCTTGTGAAAACCCCTACTGCAAGAATATCATGATTTGTTTTGCACGAAGACGGGAATAAACAAATTTTCACTGCTCGAAAAAGACCACTGCACATTCGACTATATAAGATCATTCACTCACAAAACAATCCAGCAAATGTCTCATTTCCATCACAAAGGCTAACTGGCATTCCAGTCTACAACCCTGAACAATAAGTAAAACCAAGTTAAGGAAGGAAACATACATGGTAAGTGCTGCCACAGTAACCTTCGTATCTGAGTGAGAATAACTGAGAGAGAGGGGGAGAGACAACGGAATAACAGACAGATGAATAACAGAGTGGCAAACATACCAAGAGCACTTAGACAGATAAAAAAAAAACAGAGGACAGTTATCTGGGAAACTAGACCTCTCCCCATTGTATTTTCAGTACAGAATGGTTTTACGGTAATATCTCAACCAAAATCATTTTGGCACACAAGAATCTTTGAAAATGATTAAGTTGTATTCATAAATGATTACCACAACCTCCAATTTTAAGATTCTCATTATGCAATCAGTGCAAATTTCCATGCATGGCTCCATTCAACACAGACTCAGATTATTAGACCTACTTTCTACCCAATTTTTACCAGGTTCACTGAAATATGTAGAAATTACAGATTGTACTATGTATTTATATAATTCTGAACCTAAGTGGATAGGTCTAGTTACATGTAGTTTCAAAGACTTTGGCTTCCTTACAAATTCTTGTGGGGTGTAAAGTAATGTTTTCTCTTCATTTACCCCATCAAATCTATCCTCCAGTTTTAGACTACTCATCGACTATAAAATTAGTAACTTCGGCCCCACATACAGGCTGGAGATTTTCATTGGTTGAAAAAATGGTTGGCCAAAGTCATGTTTCAGATTTACAAAACAACTGTAAATAGGCCCCTATTACTCCCTCTAAAGGCCTATTTTTTTATTATATTACCATTTACTGTTGGCTGTTATCAGAAGTAAATAGGCTAGGCCTACAGTGTGACGTGAGCTGTTTCCATACCTGCTGAATACAATCAAGTGTCAGAATATATATCAGATGTGCAACAATCCAGAAAACGGTCTCACAGGAGTGTTCCTCGTCTCTCCATTACTGCTGCAAGTTAAGAAACCAAACATGCCAAAGGAACCCGTGAAAATCCCAGCCTGCATGTAACAGTCTAGTAACAGTCACTACATGTATGTTGGGCCGCCATGTTTAACTACAGGGTGCACTTTACTACAGCACAAGCAGTGTAAAATCAACAAAGCCAAGCCCACAGTTGTGGGGTTTGTCAAACGGAAATCTCATTATCGTCTTTGCCGTCATTTTTCCATTTATTTTCAATTGTTGGATGGTAAGCCTATGATATTTCTCACCTTTAAACTCACCTCCTGTGAAGTCACATTTAAACAAACCCGCCAACGTGGCCACACATGCGTTCTCGTGCGTAGCATTGTCATGCTAATACTCGCGCGCGCACGCCACCGTAGAAAACTGGTTGTCGATCAACTTGCGCACATATTGAGCAGGGTACCAAGCAGGGGATCAAACAGCGCTGGTACTTGGCGCGCTTGAAAAGCACCACGAAGATCTGAAGATAATGCAAGTTTTATTTTTTTTATTTTTTTTTCGTAATGTAAATCGAAAGAATGACCACTGATGGAAAGAGACAAAAAGCATCTCCCCAAACTGTATGCAAGTCAATTTGCATCAATCTAAAAACCATATATTTTCTACCCCAAAAGCCGGGACGAACGCAACCGTCTGAAGCTTGGGCTTCCAGAGCTACAGCTAGGTCTATTGTCTACGCGTCTCCACGCATTTCCAATGGAGCGAAGACCTAGACCTAGCTCGAGACAAGAGACTCTGATGCAGCCGTAGTTTGCATCATGACCGCAACACACACCATGACGTCAAAATACAGTCAGTCGTAGAAGAGATGCTATGCGAGACGTTATCTACCAAAAATCACCAAAGTTACGTCCCAAATTCTGGAGATTCTAGCTAAATATGCTTTTTTTTAGGTTGCAATATAATGCCTCCTGAAGCGAAACCGATACTGGAATTTGATACATTTTGTTTATGGTCGGCTTTGCATATGAGCAAAAGATGGGCAACATAGAGTAGTACTTATTATTGTATTATTTCGTGGGAACGAGATGATTTTGAGGGAACGAAATAATAATTCGAGGGAACGGAATTAAAAAAATCTTTATTGTGCCTGTCCCCTTAGGGGCTCCTTA